CTAGGAGTTCAGTTGGCCATAAATTTCAGTGCTTTATAATGAGTAAATTTTTTACCCTCTTTTTTCCTATCTTTTGGTTTTAAAATGTCTTTAAAATACAGCTCATAAAATGTTGCTTCGTTGCATCAACCTATAAAATGCATTTAAACTTCTCTCTGCGTAGGTACAAACGTGAACCTTATTTGTATCTTCTTGTTGTGTAACAGAGACCAGAACATTAGGCTGAGATTCCTGCAGAATTGTGTTTACATTAAGTAACAGTCTGGTGAAAGAAAGTTCCTTTTTGACAAATGTGTCATAACTTGATTTTGCCATTAAGTGTTGTTCCACAGACTGTCAGACTAGATTAAAGTCCTGGGTTTGTTTTCATGGCTATGAACACTGTTTCTAGCCATCTTATGGGAGACCTCAGATTCTCTATTGCAAAAAACCCCATACATTGCTCTTAAGCAAGACTTGCTTTCCTTGCCGTGCCTTACTCATAACAGTATGAATTGGGGAAAAAAAAGAAGCTGCACTGGGTGGTTTTGTGGAAGAGAAGGGAAAAATGGATCTCCCCATTTTGTTTTAAAGGTAAAAGCAAACTGTACCTTCTCAAAGTATCTCTGTACTTGGCAGAAACCAACTGGCAAAATGTTAGTTGAATGTTAAATGTTAGTTGACAAAATCTTATAGTGTGGTTCTGAAGAAATAAAGTTATATTAGATAATTACAATTACAAATAGATTTTGAAGAAAACAATTGTATAGATGAAATAAGTGATCCAAATACATTAATGTTTGTACTGGTTTTGGCTGGGATAGAGTTAATTTTCTGTAGTGTTGTATTTTGGATTTAGGATGTTGAATGATGTTGATAGTGTTGTTATCTCAATGTTTCAGCTGTCCAGTGCGTACAGTAAGTCAAGGACTTGTCAGCTTTGCATACCAGTGAGGAGGCTGGGGGGCACAAGAAGCTAGGAGGGGGGACACAGCCAGGATGGGTGACCCCAAGTCCCCAAAGGGATATTCCATGCTGTATGATACATTCCATACCATATAATGTCATGCTGAACAAAAGAAATAGGGGCCAGAGGGTAGTGGCTGCTGCTTAGGGTCTGGCTGGGCCTCGGTTAGTGGGTGGTGAACAATGGCATTGTGCATCACTTGTTTGGTATATTTTTATCATTATTCTTATTATTCTCCATTCTTTTTCTGCCCTATTAAACTGTCTATATCTCAGCCCAGGAATTTTACCTTTTTTTCCCCAGTTCTCTCGCCAGTCCTACTTGGTGGGGAGCAAGTGAGTGGCTGTGTAGTGTTCAGCTGCCTGCTGGCTTAAACCACAACAATGCTCAAGAGACTCTTTTAGAATTACGGGTTATTAACTTCATCAGGCTTATAATTAGCACCACAAAGGTAACATTAGGTAATGCAGAACCTTTCCAAGAGTTTCTAGACCTTCAGTAGTGCTTTGGGTCTTGATGCTATTGCAGGTAAGTCACCTCCTTCATCCTTTTCACTTCACCAGTTTAGTTCTGAGTTGTAGCTCATCTTTGCCACTGCTCAGAAAGCTTTAAGAAAACTTCTGTAATTTGCATTTCCCTTGGGATATGTATTAAAATGACAAGAGAATAGGAAATTGAAAGTGAAATTCAAATGTGAAGGAAAATCAAGCACTATGTGTTGAAGTGTCTGAGCAAATCTCACTCCATGTTTTTAATGATACCCGGCAGCACTAGTACAGTCACAGCTACTCATGGCTTAAACAGGAATTTTAGACATTCCGGGGTGGGGTTTTTTTGGTTTTTTTGTTTATTTATTTGTTTGTTTGTTTTGTTCTGCTGCTTGAGAACATCCTGTAATGTTCTCAGGAAGCAGAATCTGAAATGTGATTCTGGATACTTGTTTTGTATCAGTGTATATTCTTCATGTGTTTTCTGTTAACTGTAATGTCAGATCTGAAAAGAATATAATGAGGAGAGCTTCTGAGGGGTTGAAGTATAAATTATTTTTGTTTTGCTTCCTAAAAATCCTCAAATACAGCTTAGTAATGCTGAAATATACATAAATATGCAACCACATGTAGGAAACCGAGACTTCAAATATTATAAGCATGTAGAATACAACTGGAACACAGAATACTTGTCTCACTGACCTCTCAAGCTCTTTATGTATTTAGCATTTCAATCTGCTGTTAATGATCACAAACAGTATTTTCCCTAGGAATTTCTCAACTTGAGTAAGTTGGGAGCACCAACCAATACGTAGCACCTAACATGACATCGCATTTTGGAATTGGAAGGATTATTACAGACGGGTTAGCGTGGGATTGCTTTTCTGCAGGAATACACTTGCCAGCAAGAGATGGAACTTCAGGAGGTTACTTGTGTCATATATCAATGTGCAGATTTCTCTTGGACATAATTACCTCATTCTCCCTGCTGGGAGATTCAACTTACTCACCAGTATTTTGGCCATATCTGTCTTTTCCTAATTGTTGAGGAAAGGTGTAGTAACGGCAGATGCCAGCTTCGGAAGGGTGGGGTGGTGGAAAAGTTAAAAGTGAGAAGTACATTAAACTTTAAGAAAGCAAATGTGCCAAATTTGAATTAATTTAACACATGATGATAAATACATGAATAATTTCTTTCCATGTTACCTATCTGGATAACTTATGTGGGTCTAAAGCTAACTTTGTGATCATCATTTTTATTCAGCTTCTTTCTGATTTAAGGACACTGGATCAAAAACACGGTGATATGGGATTATTAATGTAACATGATTTTTTTGCTAAGAAGGCTGTAATTATAGTGCTTTTTGTTATAAGAACTCCTTCAAGCTGCTTAGTACTGAATGGCATTAGTTCCCTTGCCCTTGACATGGCAGTAATTGCCTTGCAATTGTGATGATGGAGTGTTGGTTTATTACTAAATCTGACTATATATAATTATGTTTGAAGAAAAATACTCTTTGCCTGGCTTGAAATGTGCAGGACTAAGCGTACTTCAAGTTCTTTTAATCGGTTATACTGTGCTTAGCTTTTGCATTCAAATGGCTTACAGGTTTTTATCCTTTGTGTCTTGAATCTAGCAGACTAGATTTCAGACAGAGGACTGTAAACTAAACTTTCTTAATTTTTCTGTCTTCATTAAAAAGTGTGTTATAATTTTTCATTTAGGTAGTGTTGAAAAGAAAGGGAATAGGAATTTTGTTTTTAAGTTGGGATTATTTCTTTTTTGTGCTGTATAATTCAAGACTTTGACCTACTACATGAATAATACGATGAAATGCTCAGTCTCTGGAATGACATACCAAGATATGCTCAGAAATAACCCCTTCTAAGCAGGCATTTGGGGGGTCAGTGTCATCAAGAGGGGATATTTCTTATCACCTTGGAATGTATCAGGAGTCCAGATGTGATAAGGGTAGATGAGCAGGGACACAGAAGTTACCACATATCACCATAGCAATGGGGGCGAAAAATTTCATCCTTTGACCTGACTTTTTCTCCAGAATCTGCAGCATCCTCGCTTTGGTATTTTGGCATGTAACCGGTCAACTTGGTTCATCAACACTGCTGAAATTAGGAACAGGATTTTCAAATATGGTAGTTTAGTATTGGAGTTAATTTTTTTTAATGTTTCAAGAATTAAATATGACAATGACGCTGCATTTCAGGCTCAAACATCAAAGTTCAAGCAGTATGATAATGAGTTTCAACAAGCAGCCTTCAGGTGCTTTATACTGGCATTATGCGTCAATACTGCATATCCACCATGTATATATACCTAGAAAAAGGGGAGGGTATGCTAACGTGCATTCTTATTGTAGACCATGAGCAAAGAGCTGCAAGTTGGTGTGGAGTGATGATCTATACCTAATAAATTTTTGAGGGTTTAAAATGAATGTTTTTGTACTTAGTTACATGTGTATTTTCAAGGCAGTTTTTAGAGACAACAGAAACTTGCTTACCCAAGAGGAGTAAGTCAGTCTGGTTTTTTGACTGGTTTTTTTTTTTGGACAAATAGTGATTTGCCACTTCAGACTTTTATTTCTTGTTAACTAGACTTTCAAATTATTGTAAATCCTTTATACATCCATACCTTAACATCTTACATGCGATCTTTTCAAAAGGAATTTCTGAGCAACATAAGTACTTCTAACTGGAGTGCTTTTTCAGGTTCTTTCATCTTCTGTAGGAATGCAAAAATACAAGGCTGAGTTTAATAATACCTTAAAATATAAATTTAAATTGCTGTTGATCCTGTCTTCTTTTCCAGAAGGTTTATTACTTGCTATTAAGTTGTCTACCCACAATAATGAACAATAATGATGATCTCTACAGGACTTTCATTCTGGAGATCCTGGTTTAGCAGTATTACATTTTGTTACTGTGTTTTGCCTCAAATATGTTGAGTTTATTTAAAATAGAATGCTGCGTTACAGACTAAGTTGGTTTTATTAAATTGTGACATACACGCTCCTTTTCCTCTTAATACGTTACCATCCTTCAGCTGGTACCTGCTTTGTGTTTCAGGCTTATCCCTTCAAAAATATGCTTCTGTTTCACCTCTCCTGCTTCCCTTTTATGTCACAGAATCTCAGACTGGTTTGGGTTGAAGGGACCTTAAAGCTCCTCCAGCTCCAACCCCTGCCACAGGCAGGGACACCTTCCACTAGAGCAGGTTGCTCCAAGCCCCTGTGTCCAACCTGCCCTTGAACACTGCCAGGGATGGGGCAGCCACAGCTTCTCTGGGCACCCTGTGCCAGCGCCTCAGCACCCTCACAGGGAATTAAATTTCCAGTAATCTTTAAATTCCCACTTCTCTGTGCCCACTGATGTGTTAGTCCTGAGCTTTCGTTTTGAGAAACCAGTCAGAGCTGTCCTCTCATTGTACAGGGGTGGATTGTTTATCCTCTCTTCTCTCTACCTGTGTGTCAGATGCTGTCCTTTCCTCTAAAGGAGCTTTGTTCATTAAAATGTGAACAAACATAGTCTTTTCTGCTTTTTCTCTCCAGCTGGCCTGTGGACAGTCTTCACGCTCGGTGGGGTGGGCAGCAAACCAACGCCGCAGCTGGAGCAGTGTTCCCCTCTAGCTAACCAGAGCCTACTGCTGCTGCTGGTCTTGGCCAATCTCACCGATGCTCCAGATACGCCGAATCCCTACAGGCAAGCTATTATGTCCTTCAAGAACACCCAAGGTTTGTGTCTATTCCTACTTCTAACCATGAACTGATGAAAATGAAGTGTTAAATTGCTGCGACGGCTTACAGGGTCTCTTTCCAAATTTTTTTCCTTCCTCCAGCCAGCCTGTGGAAAAGCAGTAATTATATATTATTGTTTTTCTGGGAGTTCTGAGGTGGAGTTCCCCAGCTGCTGCAACACAGGAGAGAAGGATATCCCTTTCTTCAGACTTGAGAAATCTTAGAAAGCTTCATAATTTCAAAAACATGAATAAAACTGACCTACAAGTCGGCTGGTTATCCAAGAGTCTGCAGGAGTTGCCTGAAACTTCATAGCACTTGGGGAAATTCTATTTAGTTGGTCATGTTCCTTAGAGCAAAGAGAAACAGTTGAATTGCTAGCGGAGTTGATTTGCTGATTTTATTCTTGTATTGCAAATGTGAGGAGAAGCTGGGTAGTATAAATACTTTCATGGTATATATGGAAAGTTTTGGAGTTGTTTCAGCACTTGCCTGTTTCTTGAAGCAGGTTCCAGTCCATATATTGAGTCACTGCAGGTGTATTGCTTACTGCCTCGCAGTGGCCTGCTGCAGAGGGTCTTGCTTTTGGGACATAGTTATGTTGTAGCACAGGTTGGGACTACCTAGATAGCTCAGCTTGCAGGCAGTGGGCTGCTTTCCATATATACCTTACCCACACACTTGAATCTCCAAGTTTTAGCATGGAGTTTTACCTTTCTTTGGCTATATGCAGCTTGACAGCATGCATAGAGCTACTCAGCACGGCTCTGGTGCTGCACGGTAACATGTGGAACCACATCAGTACTTCTGAGTTGCTCACTTTATTTTGGGGGAGTTTTTATATTCCTTTAACCGTTAAGTTTTTTAGCAGGTTGAGCTCTAAATTCATTCACCTTTACCTCTGAAATTCTTTGGGGTTATGAGGATGGAGGATTGTTCTCACAAGAAGAATTCTTAGTCCTGAAGTGCTCCTTTGATTTATTGGATACTGTTTACAGGCAACTGAGATTAAATGCTTGATAAAGTTTTGGTTTGTTCTGTTTTTTTTAAACTGCAAACTTCTGTGAATATTTTATTTTGATTGACTTTGTTTTATCTCTTCAGTTACTAGTAATGTCATACATTGTCATACGTGCATCATTATAGACTATTAGAACTGTTATACATGTATCCTAAAATTTTAAAAGAACTTTATGTCAAAAGCAGCATGAAAGGCCATATTTTCTCTTGATGTGTACGTTTATAGAATGATTTATTGTTTTCCATAAACTTGTTTCCACTAGCAATACTCATATAAATGAGCTTAAATTTGATTCTTGTGAACATTCTGAGGGACTGGTAAGAGGAGAATGATATGAGAAAGGAAGGCTGATTACTGTCAGAATGATCTATAGTATGTGACTATAAAATGAAAACTGGCTTTTTTGGTTAAGTAGTTTATATATAACTTAATTGGGACAAAACTAATAAAATTCAGGATAGTTATTCTACATGATCTAGAATAATTTAGTTTTTCTGTTGGTCAGTTTAATGTTCTGTAGAATAATACAGGATGTGCTGCTGTTGCTCTTAAGTTTCTTTAACACTGCTTAGGATTTTTTTCTTACAATTTTTGACTATCCTTTAATAAAGCAGAGAGTAAAGAGCTGTAATTACAAGTGGGACGGTTTGAACATCCACAGAAGTGAAGCCTGAAAGTCAACAGACACTCTTCAGCTAATGAACTGTGGCATCAAGTTGCTGCTTAAGAGAGCACGTTGACTTGATCTGAGATTGCTGTCTACATCCAAATTTTCCCTAGAAAAGAGAAATACTCACCTGAAGTGAGATGTTTTTAAACCAATTGGTCCATCATCACCATGAGGATCAGTTCAGAACAGGCAGGGTTTGGTCTCTCCTCTGCCTCATTGGTACATCGTTCTGGGGCAGAGGCAGGGTTTCCACCACTGATGGGCTGTGTCTCAGCTCTGTGTGTGTGGCAGCGCCTCCCAGCTCCCGCAGGAAGGAGGAGGATTTGCTCCAGAGCCTCCTGCTGAGTGCAGCTGAATGGCTGGAGCCGTCACTCCTCACCCAGGCCAAGAGAAGCAGTGGCTCCCTGGCATGCTGAATCCAGCGGGCCCCCAGAAACCCAGTGGGAGCCAGGGCTCCTGTGGGGCTCCTGCAGGTCTTCCAACACTTCTTCCTTCCAAAGAGGGTGGAGATGTTCAAAACAAGTGACAACTACCACAGCCTTCCATGCTGAGAGCTATTAGAAACCTTTAGTCCGCTAAAAAGGAAGGTGAAAGCAAGACACCCGCATTTCAGGGGGTGTAGGGAGTGTTTGTGTGATCAGTACCAGTATAGATATTTCCCTGGGAGAGTATAAAAGTTTGGTAAGAAACCATGGAAGTATTCATTTAAGAGCCAAATTTGTGATGGCTCACAGTTGCTGCCCATGGGCACACGTGTGGTGACGCTGTTCTCACTGTCCTCTGTGGTCATGCAGTCTACAACATCTGAGAAATCCTTCAGGATTTGAGGAAAATGGAAGATTTGGATGAAAAACAAGTGTTGCTGCTGATTACCTCGGCTGTCACAATACTGTTGGCTGTAAAATAGCTTGTAAAAATGCTGCTTTTTAAATTTGCATTGTTGTTTTCCTTTATTCATCTGAGTCTTTCCTTCCTTTCCTTACAATCCTGTCTGTCCACAAATCACTGTGCAGGAGGAGGAGTAGTATTGTCATACTTTCCTAAGTTTATGCACTTCCCTAAGTTAATGCACTTTTAATAAATGATAAACAGTTCAGAACTCTGTAGTCTGTTACAGTGGGAACTAAGGAATTTCAGTTAAATTCTTCAACTTTGGAAATTGCTTATAGTAATACGGAAATTTTTAAGTCTACCTCTTCAGTACACTTGAAAATCCAAACTGCTATTGTTCCCAGAATATCATCTTGCCATGAAATTGCTGTAATTTTTCCGTATGCATAGTTTATTTGTGTGCATAGAAAAGATAGGCAGTTGCCAGAATGCTGAAATAAATCAGCCCAAAAGGGCATAATTGTCCTACTTCATGTATCATCTCAGACAATACATGTTTTGGTTGGATGTTTTTTAAAAGAGCTGGAGAGGAAAATGCTTTATATAAATTTCTGTGAAGCTTTTTGAGAGTTGAGAAATGTACCTGCTCTGCACTGGAACAAAATCTTGTATTCTGAAAGGTTTGGGTGGGTGGTTTTTTTGTTTTATTAGGAAAGCAAAGGCAAAATTTCTGACTGGGGAAGTTTGGGAGGCTGAATGAGGACATGAGCCTGGCTTTCTGACACGAGTATGCGTGCATCAACTGTCGTTCTAGCTTTTTCCATTTCCACTGGAAATTGCTAGATGTTAGAGTTCTGTGCTGATGGACATTTTTGTTGAAATTGGTAAAGCTTCCTGTGAAAAGCTTCTGAGAACAAAAATATGTTTTATTCTCATTTCCAGCTCTGGCACAGACTATGTTGTGAACATGAACAAACTGCTGTTACTTTGAGGGGTGTTAGACTGTGTGATGTGGTGTTTTAAATCACTTAACCCACAACTTCCCACCACACATGCTTCTTTGAAGTCCTGACAATACCTGTGTTTCACTGACAATATACTGATAGTCTTGAGCTGTGTACATTTGCCCTTTGTGCCAAAAAATGACAAGGAGATGCCAGTGAACAAAACCTGGTAGTTTGGGTTGCAGGTTTAGAGCCATCATCAGGATGGTGAGGCGCTGGCACAGGGTGCCCAGAGAAGCTGTGGCTGCCCCATCCCTGGCAGTGTTCAAGGCCAGGTTGGACACAGGGGCTTGGAGCAACCTGCTCTAGTGGAAGGTGTCCCTGCCCGTGGCAGCGGTTGGAGATGGGGGAACTTTGAGGTCCTTTCCAACACAAACCAGTCTGGGATTGATTCTGTGATCAGTCCAGCAGTTCCAGAGAAGACACTGTAGCTGCCCTCCTTGAGGCAGCTCCTGGGATTTTAAATCACTTTCTAACTAAGGAAGCCATTTGGAAGAAGAGAATAGCTTTATGAAAGAAGATGAGTGTCTTGTGCAGATATGGGGCTGTTAATGGAGCTCATGTGGGAGGACAACCTCAGCTTTTTTGGCACAACTTCATGAGACCCTGTTAATGTTTATGACCATAGGTGATAGGAGCCATGGATGATTTTTGTTTCCTCCTGTCTGTGGTATCTGTATAAAATGCTGGTTTGTATTTTGTAAATACAAAGTATTTTTAGATTTTTGTAGAACAAATAGCTGAATGGTAAATGGTTTTTCTTTCTTTCTATATTTCAGATAGCACTGCTTTTTCATCATCAAATCCACATGCTTTCCAGATTAATTTTAACAGCTTATACACAGCTTTGTGTGAGCAGCAGAAATCTGATCAAGCGACTCTTCTTTTATACATGCTTCTGCATCAAAATGGCAACGTACGGACATACGTGTTGGCACGAACGGACATAGAAAATCTTGTAAGTATTGTTTTGCTTACCATGGGCTCACAGGAGGGGCTTGTCCTGGGAGCTTGGGTGTCACCAGCTGCCAGTGTGCCCTGTTCTGTGGTGAGGGCAGTAGGTTCTTGTTCACTTACTCACCAGTTCTAGCTCAGAACTAGAACTGTTCCCTTTGATTATGACAGGAGCAGGATGCTAAACATGTTACTGCAGTAAAAGACAGTACTGGTAGAGCTACCAAGCTGTCTTTGAGGCCCTCTTTCTCTTTCTGATCCATGTCAAACATGCTGGCCTCTGCACACAATGTGAAGAAACTGGTAGCAGGTATCATTCCACTCATTATTAAATCTTTCTTCTTTGGATATTCATGCCAAAAAGTTACCGTGTGCATGTAGGGATCATAGTTAACAAAATGAGCTGTAACTTGACTAACACGCCAAATGTCTTACAGGGGTTGACCTAAGGCTGAAACTCCTCAAGGAGCAGCTGACAGATTTTATAGAAATGCAACTGTAGTGAGTTTTTAGCTGCTTTAAATAGGATTGTGGTTAATGGCCAATATTACAGACACCTGGTACAGTTTTTGTAGGTTATAAATTAGCTTCTGCTCCCCACTTCAGTAATGTCACAAACCACTTTAACAAATCTTACTTATTAAAAAGCATTCCTTTAATAAGATAATGGCTGTCTAGGGGAATTGGTAACGGAATAGAGAACCCTTTCCATTTTAATATTTGAAATCTTGCCAGATAATTAGATCCCTTGCCTGCTTGATGGCAATATGGAATGAGTTTGGTTTCGGTCCAAGTCCCAGCAGATGTATTGCTAAAATCAGAGTTGATAGACGCCACTGTTGGCAAACTCAAGTGAGATGGTTGATACTGAATTGATTCAAGACTGAACTCCTGTGTTCAGGAGCTGCAGATTATCTAGGTGAGGGCTGGGTCGTTTTGCATGAATTCTGTAATTAAATGGTCATATTTAATTTTCTGGGCTGTTAGTATGTGATATGACAAGTTTCACAGCTGCTAACCAGATCAATTTACTTTAGAGAAATAAAGGTTAGGTGTGTGCATTGTTTTATAATCTGATGTCAGATATCTTGGAAAACTTGCAGTAAAATCATGATATGCGTGTGTCAAAACAACTCCAGATGCAGGTACACAGATGCTCTGCAATGTGGGTTTATTTTTATGTATTATCTATCTTTACTCTCCTTCAGAAAAAAAAATAATCAAAAAATCCCAGAATCATGGAGATAATTGGCAACATTAAACAGCTTTTGGGAAAAGCTGAGAAAATTTGGAAAACCATGACTGAGAACTCAGCAGTATTTATTTTTTTAATTCCATAATTTGAAACTCTCTGATCTTCTTTTGCCCTTCATGCATACTGTTGCTTCCCGTGATCACTACTGACACATTACTGACATCTTTGTCCAGTACTCTCATTTGTAGTGGGTAGTAGATAAGAATGAGCAGTGGCTGACTGAGAAGAGCAGTTTTAATTGCTTAGTAGTGCAGGCTGAGCCAGACACAATAAAGATTGGGGGGTGGGAGGGTTAATGGGGAGAGAGCTCATGATCTCCCAATTACAATCCTGCGGTGAAAAAGGCTAATTCAGTCTTGGGCTTTTAAATGAGAAGAAGGGACAGGAGTAATGGAGCTGGTTATTTCCTTCCCTGTATGGCAACGGTAGGAGTGGTGCTAACACGCTGTGTACTGTGCTGGTGGTGTACTACCATACTTCATAAAATACTTACAGGCTATTGAAAAACAGGGAGAGTGTAGAGAAACTTTTTTTTTTTCCCCTTTAAAGTTAACAATAAAACTGACAATGAAAGCTGACTCGGCTCAGTTGATCAGAAAAGAGCTTGAGAAGCATCAGGATGTGTATGTGCCTTTGCAAGGGGAAAGCCTTGAACAGAAAGGATTCTCCGCTTGCAGAGAAGTGTGGTGAGAGCTAAAGCCTGAAGGTTGAACCCCACAACTTAGAGGGATGAGAGGAAAACAGTTAAGGTAATGAATTCAGAGGCAAACCTGTGCTCAGTAGGGCTATCTTTGAATGAGGGTGGATGACTTGCTGGAGCAACGTGGCACAAGTCAGCGACCTCTTTGTACACAGGCAGGTGGGAGAAGTGTAAGAATCCATGGCATATGGGATATCACATCAGCAGTCAGCTGAGTGCTTACCTAAGGGTTTGTGGGTTGTTCCTGTTTCACTGCACACAGTGCACCACGTTTGTTGTGTTTTCCCCTATTTTAATTCTTCTCAGTTTTGGTGCCCAGGAAGCATCACTAGCAGATGTTCTGTGACATTTCCTAGGGGTTTTTGAAATGCGTCTTTGCTCTTTTGTAACTTCAGTTTAATCTGTAAATTGAATCAGCATGTTTTTTCGTAACTGTTATACTAGATAGTGTCTCAGCTTAATTCCTACTTCGTCTATGAATCTACCTCTGTCTGTTATAAGTAAATAAACAACTGACACAGGTAGATTCTGTTACGGTTTATAGTGTTTTGTCATTAGTAAGGCAGCGCATCTTTTTTGCTCTTTAGTAAGTCTGCTTTGTAGAATGAATAGGGTGGTTTTGTGTCTTCCATAGCTTATAGCATGTCACTTTGTATCATTTCATAAAATAACTGGGTTAAATACCTGGTGCTGTTAGGGATGTTCACATCTGGAATTTGGTTGTCTCACTGAAAGTACTTCCAGTGATTCTCCAGGAAATAGTGGGACTGCTGGAATAGGGGCAGTTGGCAAATTTTTTTATAAGCTGTCTGTCGTGGTCTGTGGATGAGAGAATGATGTGCCCTTTTCTGTTTGGAAGAGCAGTTAACACCCATATTGCAGGTAAAAATACCAGTGAGATACCTGCTTATAGAAATGAGCTTTTTCTATTGATTGTGTTTGCTTTGGCTGCTGAGTTGGCGTTTCATTGCTGCTCAATGACTGGACTGAAATAATGTATATGCTGATGTATTTATATCAACCCATGGTACAGCAGTATTTTTTCCTGTGGTATTATTTGGCTTAAGCAGGTTGCTCTTGTGGCTATGTGGTCTTGTATTTTGTTGTATACTAAAGACAAGCTATTTTAAAACTCTTTGCTTGGGAAACTGTTCCTGAGCTTGGACCGAATATAGCACCTGCAATTTTCAGTGTCTGTTTTTACCTGCGTTTTTTCAATGGTGGCTGTGTCTAGCCAGTTAAAAGCTGCTCCTGATGGAGGAGTATTAGAAGTAGCCCAGTCATGAGAGTTTAATGACTATGAATAAAAAGGCCAGCAATACAAAAAGAAGTGGTAGTTGTCTTCTCAGTACATGGCTGGACAATGCCATTGCATAAGATGGCATATAAAAGTTTTAATGCATGTGCTTAACATAAGGTGTAGAAATGTTTTTTGGTTACAATTCTAAACAGTCTTTCATACAATTAAAATTTTAACCTTATATCCTCATTCTTATTGAAGTGGTGGCTTAGGAGGTAATTTTTGTTTAGAGAACATTAATACTTGTCCTAAAGGTGTCGGTACCTCAGCAATCAATATGCAAAGGAAGAAGCGTTTGAAGGAGTAAGGGTCACTGTCTGAATCAATTCTCTTTTCATCTGGAAATGGCAGGTATAGAGAGTTAAGATGCCATTTGCCTTCTTCAGTTTGATCAGGTATGTGCATGGAGAGAAGTCTGGGAGAGGGAGTGGAAAGGAAACTGTGACCAGGCGAGTAGAGGTGGGAAGAAGAAGTTTTGAAAGCTTTCAAGGTGTTTTGGGGGCAGGAACATTGAATAGAGAGATTTGGAGAGCCAAATCTCTCTTCAGAGTAGGAGTGATTTCAGTAGCTAGCATGAAATTTTAGTAAGAGTATTTCAACATTATTGGCTCATGTGGAAATACCTGTAATGTCTCAATGTCAGAATCCAGATAGCCTTTTTTAATGTCATTGTAGCAACACACTTTTAGGACTTGGAGTGCTTGAGGAACACGAATGCAGTTTTTCAGCTAGAGTTTGACCTAGTATTAATGTGCATGGACTGAGGAGAGATGCTGGGCTGTTCTGAAGGAGTATGTTTTGCCAGAGTTCTTTGGGTAGTATTATTTAGCCTTAACCAGACTGTTACATTGAAGGACTGCAAGGCATGTACTTTGTAAGGCAGAATATTCAATTCTGAGAAGCTGTAAAAACTAACAAACACAGCTGTTTGGAACCTGACTTGAAAACTAAGAACTTGTTCCACTGGTTACCTTGAGAAAGTCAAGTTGTAAATGCAATTCTTTGGTAGTTTTCTATTGTTTCCTGCTGTATGCTGCTTACCATAATGCTGGGACTTGGAAATGAGTTTGAGCTTATGCAGTGTAAAGCTATGTGCAATATAGTGATAGAAACGATTTGAAGAGTGGACTAGTGCAGTGATGTTTGTCTCGCTTTTCCCCTATCCACGAAAAAGGACTAATGTTATTTGCTATATATGCTATGTAGGTATTCCAGGGAAAACGTGGTCTTTACTGTCAAGACCTATATTCACAAAATACAAAGACATCATCTCCAGTTTCATCTGGAGAGAGAAGCTTGTGAAGGATCCTTTGAAATGGAAGGATGATTGCAATGTATAAATATTTCTTTCCCTCTGCTTTTGTTGTGGTATTGTGTTGACCCTGGACAAAGCATCTGTCAAAAGATTTTGTGGCCTGCAGCATTTAGATCAATCTCATTGGTTTTAATAGAAACTGTTGTGTGTTTTAATATGTTCCAACTGTTTGGGGACTGGTTGATTGTAAGAGAACATTTTGGTAACTTCAGAGGCCTGTGAAGGACTTGGTGTCCTGGCTGATCACCAGAATAGGTTTAACATGATTCATCCTGCTGCACTCGGCCTGTTTTGAGAAACAGCAACTCTTTAGGTGTCTAGAAGCTTCTTGGAACAAATTCTGCATCTCATCCGCTATCTTGGAATTGAGAGTTTTCTTCAGTTCCTTTTTCCAGGGTATTTTGTGATTTAGGCCTGTTTCTACAGCCCAGGGAAGCCACATTGTCCTAAGCCAGTGGAAAGCTAATTTTCAGTTGGTAGCGAGACAACGTTTGCATCTGGATTAACTTTAGACTAGCATTCAGGTATGCTTGCTGTTGCAATGAAGTCTCATTTTCATTATTATTGCAAGTCTTTGGCTTAAGCCGTTCATCCTGGTGGAAATGTTGCAAGACCTTAGGCTGAACTCTCATCATAATGTCAGTTCTCTTTGGCTGCGTATTATCTAGAATTAGAAAAACAGGCCTTTCCTAGTCTTAATCCAACCCAAACTGGTTCTTTTCTGGGATTATCTCCACACACCGAAGTGGGTTTTGAGTTTCAGGTCTCAAAATGCCTCTGTGCACCTCAGCTCCATTATGCTTGGCTATGTTTGATGAGGAAAGTCTTCAGACCAGGCTTGTGGGAGCACAAATGGTTAGAAGCAATTGTTTTCCTCCTTCAACTGGTAAAAATCTTGTTTAATAATTGTATTTTCCACATGGCCTACAGGGGAACTAAAGCTTTCAGAGCCCATGGTAACTGGTATGGCTGGAAATCTCATTTATTAGGAATTGAAATTCCATGTCTGACCACAAGAAAGAATTTGTTTAGACTCTCTTGTGGAGACAGAATGAAACAGATGGAAGGTGTTTGAACATTGTACGTCACTATTTGGGGGTGGTTATTTCAAGAAGGAGGAATTGGTATGATGTTGTTAAGGGCAGGGTAATACACGGGAGGTTTAGAGTCTCCTCTTTTTATTGTGTGAGGTATTTGAAGACTAAACTAATACACACATTTTTTCTTCCCTAAAGGTTCTGCCAATTCTTGAGATTCTGTATCATGTTGAAGAAAGGAATTCACACCATGTTTACATGGCTCTGATCATTCTGCTGATCCTTACAGAGGATGATGGCTTCAACCGATCCATTCATGAAGTGGTGAGTTGTTGTCTTGGTAAATAATTCTTCAGCTCTAAAAATGGTTTAAATCTTCACTTTTATAGAGATATATTGATATATCTGTTTCCTCAGCAGACATGTATGTGTTCATCCAAATTTGGTGACATATACATATTTCTTTCATGAGGACTAACCATAAGTTAGAAGAATCATTTCAAAACTTTCCAGAGTGAACAAACGCTTTCCCTCTTGTAGAGGAGGTGCTCTGTATACCTCTTTTTCTGTCTTTTTTTTGTGTTTCCTGTTGCAAATTAATGTAATAATAGTCAGGCAGCTGCCTCAAAGATGCTGAGTGTTTGCCATGAAAGTGGAGGGGCTAAATGAGAGAAAAAAACACAGAAAAACTTTCTTATTTCTCTTGAAAAACTTTTCTTAACCAGTTTGATGCAGCCGAGAGGAGCTTCTAGTTGGAATTTTATTTTCCAGACTGAAGGTTACTTCCTTACTTGGCATTTCTTTTTCTGTCTTTCTGCTAGATTAATATCTATTTTATGTTGAACATATAATATGATCCAAATTTGGACTAGCTTTGATGGGCCTCAACCATCTGTGTTTGGACTATGACATTCTAGTTTCCTAGCTTCTAAAGCTAGGATAATGCTGAAGATATCTGCACTGATTTTTATTTGATTTTTTTGACCGGGACATGGGAATTCTCTTTTGGGGTTATGTGAAATTAATGAAATGCAGAAACCTGGAAGCAGGTTTCAAGGTATCTAAACAGAACTCTTAGTTAAATTTCCAGCCTCTTTTAGGGAGAACTGGCATGTACAGTAATTACTTACAGTATTTACTCTCAGAAATTTCAGATTGTTTCCTATAGCTTTATATGCAGAAAGCAAGAAGAGATGATGTTGATACTGAATTTCCTGGGAGTACCTTTGAGGAAGTGGTTTTTAGGAGGAACACCTATAGTAACCATGCGATAACTGAAACAACATTTACCTGGTGCTTTCTCCTGCCTCAATTTCACGTGCCTCAAACCTGTACATCCGCACCGTGTACATATGTGATATGTATTTTGGGGTTCTGTATCACTAAGTCATTTAACTTCTTTCATGAATTGAGCTTGTTGAGCATCAGAGTCCAGCAGACAAAGTTTCACTCGTCAGTCTCTTCATTCTTCATTCATTTTAAAGGCTTCACACATGATCTTTCAATAAATTCCTTACCGGATAAGTAGAAGTGGAAGATTTCCCTGAAATTTGTTAATGAGAATCCAGATGTTGAATGAAAACATAAATCAAGTTTTCTTGTCCAGTTTATTCTTGCCTTTGCAGCTAGCCCTGCCAGTATTTGTAGTGTTTTCCGTGCCATGTGGGTATTAGTTTACTACCTCTATTTTAAATAAAACAAAACCAAACCCCACCTTGTTCCTTTTACCCTGCACTGTTTGTTGGTTTTTTTTCAGTCCTGCCTTTGCTTCTTCCAGTTTTTTCTCAATTTAATCTTTGATTTTTCTTCAGATTTTCACTAACTGCTTCTTTCTTTTACTCTTTGGTTGTGTTTTCCCACTCCATAGTGTCTGGTGAGAAGCATCCATTCAATAGTACCATTAATATGGCCAGAGTTTTGCTGGTTCTGCTTCTTAAGTAGGTGAGAGGTGTGTGTGGAGTGATGACCCTTCAGGATTGTCTATGTGAACATCTCCTGTAAGCCCTACTACAGAAAAAGCTGTGAAAATGGAAACTTAGTGGATGGAGTGCTGCAAAGCTGAAGAGGGTAGATGTAGCATATTCTTAATTCTTCATCCTGCCCTCCTCTATTCCTTACTATTCTTCCTCTTAGCCTTTTCTCCATTATCTGAAATGCCTTCATGCCAAAGGAGAGAGCAAACTTGGAGGCAAAGCAGTTTGTTTTTCTGTCCTTGCAATGCTTTTCTTACTGAATTTGAAGGCTTTTTCTTGCTCCATGCGCTTATTCTTTGTGTCATGCAGGTGGATGGGATGCCGCCAAGGAGAAGTAGGTCTCCCGTTGCTCAGATCTTAAACTGTACTCTGAAAGCCACCTAAATAAACTGTGACAGAGAAGAGCTGATGACTGTGATACCAACTCTTAAGTATTCCTTATAGAAAGGATTCCTTATTTATAGAAAAAAAAACACATAATACTAAAAAAAAAAAAATAAAGTTACCTTCTAGATCACTTCATCTACTCGATTCCTGAAGGATGTTACAGAAGGATGTGGATATCAAAATACAACTGCTCACAGATCATGAACTGTTGGGAAATGGCTGTATGAGTAGTGAGTTCCTACAGGTCCCATGATGGGGATAAGTGTAGTTAGTGCTCTGCTTTGAGGGAAAAGGATTAAAAATCATACTGATAAATCACTTCCTGTCCCTCATCTTTTTTAATTACTTAAATGGATGTTTCCAGGAATGAATGACCAACTTACTATTCAAAAAGGACAGTATAAAGAAAGAAATTGGTCTCATACTTTCTTAAGTCTCCAAAAGGGTGACAGTGTATTACAGGACAGCAAAATGAAGGGAGTTAGTGAAACTGTATAGTTATTTCTGTAAACTGTGAATATCTAGCATCAGTGGCACATCTGGAATGAAACTCTTACTCCCTACAAATATTTATCAGATTTTAGCAATTACAGCAGGATTTATTTTTCTCCCCATCACTTGGGTAAAGTATGAAATAAAAAAGGCTTGATGTATTTTAGATCAACCTGTTTTTCTCTCTGCTGCTGTGTATCCTGCATACTGTTCTTATGAGAAGCATGACTGTACAGTCCATTTATGGGCTATTTTCCTTTGTGGTATTTAACCCACATTTATTTATTGATTTTAAAGATTAATTTTAGTAAGCACAGTTTTATAAATCTTGTGATTATTCTGATTGGCAAAGAACTCAGGAAACCACAGAAACTCTTTCTGACTGCTGAAGCATTTTTTTGTCTTAACTGCCTGGAAAATACAATTGGAACCATAGGTCCCGTTCCTGCATTTGGCTTAGTGGAGTAAGGTCCCTGTAACCACACAGAGCTCAATTTCATTCAGTAATAACAATAATAACAACACAGTAAATGAGTAAATGCAAGAATTCCCTGAAGGGAAGAAGTATTGCTGATGTTTCTTTGATTTATGAAACTAAGTGAAATGAAATCAGATGTCAAAATAACATCATATAATACTTTATGTAGCAGTGACCTATAGTCCTACTATAGTACTTTATGCTGTAGTAAACAGTGATAGATTGTAAGTCACAATTTAACTGTGTTTATTTTTATTGTGTTACAAATACCGTGCAAGCAAAGTTATGGGAAACTGAGAATCTCAGTGCTCGGTATATATAGAACTGAGTTCCTGTTCTTTGCATCTGCAGCTCTGGCACCCTCAGTTGTAGGTGTCCAGGAACCTGGTGTTAAAAAGAGTAATTAAGCAAGACATTTTAATTTTTAATTATTCTTGCAAGACTGCCCCAGGTCTGAACTTGTTGTTTTAACTTTTTCCCTTGTTAATATTATAAGCAAACCAGTGAGGCTGTTCAACTGGGGCACCGAGTTCAGGCAGATGACTCTGAAATTTAAGATAATCTTTGTTTTGTGCTTCTGCAACCTGAGCCCATGGGAGCATTGGTGATGGCTGCTGTTGATCTTTTAAACAAGCATTTCATTGCCTGCCTGCTGTGGTTGCTATCTTCAGTGTGGGGAAGAGGAGAGTTGAGGTGATAGGGACTGGTAGGTGACATTTTAGCTTTGAGTTTTGGGTGTTGTTGTGGTTTGGATTGGACTATTACAAGGCATGGTTGTCTCAGTGAATGTAATTTTCCATGGTTGGTGTTTCTAAAGTTCAAGTGTGAACCACTGGCCATTTATGGAGTTAGATTAGGACATGGACATGCTTGTCCATGGTTAAAGATGTCAGCATGTCCTCTAACAGGCTCTGATAACTTCATGTTTTTCATTAGACATTTGAAATGCGTCAGGTGGCCTTTGTGCTAGGGCCCTGCTGCCGATAATCTGACTAAATTTAGCCAAATAATAAGCCTCTGTTTTTAAGCAGTCTGTTTCCATTTGCACAGCAGATGCATAGTCAGAGGTAGCCTGATGTCTGTCGTGACTGAATATTCTCATTTTGCTGCTCCCAGAGCCAGGTGAGCTGTTTGCATCCTCCCCTGCTCAGTGATCATGTATCAGTTGAGCTGCAAAGGGACAAGCTGAAGCTTGTGTAGATGCTGCTTCCAGCTCCTGTGGGATTGGCCTGTGCTCCCAGCGATGCTTCTGTTGCTGCCTGGCAATAGTTGAAGCCTCGTAGAATCATTTATGATGGAAAAGACCTTTAAGATTGAGTCCAGCTGTAAATCTAATGCTGCCAAGTCCACCACTAAACCATGTCCCTAAGCGCCACATCTGCATCTCTGATGAATACAGTGTGAAGGAACAGGACCCCTGACATGGAATCCCAGACTGGTTTGGGTTGAAGGGACCCTAAAGCTCATCCATTTCCACCCCCTGCCCCAGGCAGGGACACCTTCCACTAGAGCAGGTTGCTCAAAGCTGCATCCAACCTGGCCTTGACATGACTGTGGTTAGGAGAAATTGGGAAGAGTCTGTGGCTGGCTGCACAAGGAACATGGGATGGGTGGAGTTGGGGGGAGAAAGACAAAATAAACAAGAAACGGGTAAGATTTGGGATTGCTGAGCAAAGAATTGAGAAAAGAGGCAGGATATGAACAAAGTCAAAATGCTGGAGAAGGTCAAGTCAGACTTGTTTTTGATGAGAGACTGGAATAGGCAAGGTGACTGGGGGAAGCAGAAGCTGGGAAGAGAAAGATCTGAGAGGAATGTGGTGTGGGAGGGCAAGGAGCTGGGAATGAGCCACAGGGAGTTAAAACAGAAAGGGTAACAACTTGTGCATAACACAGGGAGCCATAGATGTATGAGAAAGATGTTACTAGAGGTTACCTGACTTTTTTCAGTCTCATTTTTCATTTCCTGTGGAGACATCCCTTGTGAGAGAGCACAT